CACACACACACACACACACACACACACACACATACATCATGGCGGTTATTTTGGACGCTCCTGAATTTTACACATTTAAAGAGATATATCCATGAAACTATTTCAACCAATTGCAAGAGACGATATCTAGAGACAGGAATCTCAAGAAAAACACAAGATAACTAAAAAACAAACAAACAAACTCGGGACCGTATCCAATAGACTCTCTTAAAAAAAACACTAGATCGGCCACTGCAGAAAATATATTAGAAATTATGTACCCTCCCTTGAAAGAATTTTTTAGTACTTTTTGGTACGTTCCCCTGATTTAGGTTTTTGGTACCTATCGGAGCGACAAAAAAACATTCTTAAGAACCGATTTACTTTACAAAATGATAATAATTAAGAAAGAAAGAAAGAAAAAAAAACATTGTGTCAATCAACCTGATCATAGCTCACGTCAAGGAGATATTGATAAAAATAATCCAACGAATCATTTGAGCTTAAAATCTAAACCTTTTGTCTCTGTTTTTTTGCGATGAATAACATACGACGCATGAATCTTAAAACACAGATAAACCACGTGAATAAAAGACTTAGCAAACAAGCTCTAACTTGAACACGACTCAAAAGACTAGTTCTAAAATCTATTAAAAAATATGTTAGGTAATGACGATGATTGGAAACACGGCTGACAAAATAACAGCACGATAGATTAGGATTAAATGATATTAAAGAATAATTCATCTGGATTAATAGCTTTATGAATGTCCTAATCAAGAAGAGAGAGAGAGGAGAGAGAGAGAGAGAGAGAGAGAGAGAGAGAGAGAGAGAGAGAGAGAGAGAGAGAGAGAGAGAGAGAGAGAGAGAGAGAGAGAGAGAGAGAGAGAGAGAGAGAGAGAGAGAGAGATCCATGAAACTATTTCAACCAATTGCAAGAGACAAAATCGATCAAATGCTACCTAGACAGGAATCTCAAGAAAAACACAAGATAACTAAAAAACAAACAAACAAACTCGGGACCGTATCCAATAGACTCTCTTAAAAAAAACACTAGATCGGCCACTGCAGAAAATATATTAGAAATTATGTGCCCTCCCTTGAAAGAATTTTTTAGTACTTTTTGGTACGTTCCCCTGATTTAGGTTTTTGGTACCTATCGGAGCGACAAAAAAAAAAAAAATCTTAAGAACCGATTCACTTTACAAAATGATAATAATTAAAAAAAAAGAAAGAAAGAAAGAAAAAAAAAAACATTGTGTCAATCAACCTGATCATAGCTCACGTCAAGGAGATATTGATAAAAATAATCCAACGAATCATTTGAGCTTAAAATCTAAACCTTTTGTCTCTGTTTTTTTTACGATGAATAACATACGACGCATGAATCTTAAAACACAGATAAACCACGTGAATAAAAGACTTAGCAAACAAGCTCTAACTTGGACACGACTCAAAAGACTAGTTCTAAAATCTATTAAAAAATATGTTAGGTAATGACGATGATTGGAAACACGGCTGACAAAATAACAGCACGATAGATTAGGATTAAATGATATTAAAGAATAATTCATCTGGATTAATAGCTTTATGAATGTCCGATTTAATCAAGAGAGAGAGAGAGAGAGAGAGAGAGAGAGAGAGAGAGAGAGAGAGAGAGAGAGAGAGAGAGAGAGAGAGAGAGAGAGAGAGAGAGAGAGAGAGAGAGAGAGAGAGAGAGAGCGAGAGAGAGAGAGAGACTGCAGGCATGATTAATTTTGCAGTAGAATGCAATTAAGATTTTTATTCGCAAATCCGAAAATGTAAATGGTAATTTGGATAAAAGTCAAATGTAAAGGTTAGTCGAAAGTGCTGTATCGGAAACTTTTATGAACATTTATTCAGTTTTAAGCCCCCGATCACTCCCTCCTTCTCTCTCTTATTCTTTCTCCCTCTCTCTCTCTCGTATTGTTTCTCTCTCTTTGTCTGATTCTTTCTCCCTCACTCTCTGTCTCATTCTTTCGCTCTCTCTCTCTCTCTCTCATTCTTTCTCTTTCTCTCTCTCATCTCTCACCTCTCATTCTTTTCTCTTTCTCTCTTTCTTTCTCCCCCTTTCTCTTCCTCTCATTCTTCTCCCCCTCCCTTCCCTCCCCCCATCTCTCTCTCTCTCTCTCTCTCTCTCCTATTCCTTCCACTCGCTGTAATTTGTAGTCTCTCTCCTTCTCCTTTTTCTAAACTAATTACTTAATTGGAAGACGTGTTTTCATCAGCTGATGTGACAATTCACGGATGAGTCCTCGTTTCATTTCATTGTATAATTCCGTTGTTCCATTTGCAGAGTACTGAACAATATATCTGATTAACAACGAAAAAATCAATATTTGTTTATGAAAAATAAAAACAGAGAAAGACAAAAGCTCTAGAATGAACGATTTAATACTGAACATAACTGATTAGGCATGGATTAAAGTGTGAGGGTTTATGAAAATGAACAATGGAAAAAACAAAGAAAATCTACATTGAATACAAACACACACACATA